GAATAAGAGGCACATAGACCAACTCGAGGAAATCCCCCAGAACACAGTCACCAGCAGAGTGAAAGCACCCTCATCTGCAGGAGGAAGGACGTGGGGTGCTCCCCCAACACAACCACCACCCCAGAATTATCCTCTGTCCAGTCTACAAGGAGGTTTGCAGCATCATCCTCTTGCATAGTCTACCTTGGGGATGGAGACTAAGAGGTCATTTGTTCTTGGCTGATAGGTCCTTCTGACTAAAGATCAGAAGGCTTGAGTCCAGCATAAATGAAAAAAAAAAAGAGTTCTGAGAGCTGAGAGATTTAAAATGATCAGAAATACTTGCTGGAAATGGAAGGCATCTCTCTCTCTCTCTGCAACTATATATCTTTGGGTTCTACTCCAACTATGAAACTTATCTCTTGTCCAAAAACTACACCAATTGGTACACTGTCAGTGAAGTCTTTTTTCAAAAAGTCATTTCTTTTCAAAATCTTCAAATCAACCAAAAATTGATTTCAAACTATAATCAATTTCCTACAGTTCACCTGAACGGGGCATATTTAAAATGCAGGAACTGCCCACAGTAATACACATGCTATGAAGAAGTGTCTGCCTCTTGCCTCTCCCCACATCCACTGTCTCAGGAGTCACCCCAGCTCTGCCAATCCTCACTGCTTCAGTTCTGCAGTACAGTCAAGAGCCTGACCAGGAATCAAATGTGGATCCTGGAACCCAGGGACAACTTCTCTGCATCTTGGGTTTTGTAAAATGGAGCAATGAAGCACCGAAGTAACGGAGTTGGAAGAATCCACAAAATGTTCATAGCATAGGGTCTGGCACACTCCACGTGTGCAGTGGTTATTTGTATAATTCACAGCACATAAAGGAAGCCTTGCATATTCACTAAAGTGAGCTCTTCACTCTCCCACCAAGAGGAATATATATGTATATGCACATATCCATACACACATATATGTATGTACATATATGTGCATACATGTACATACATGTACATGTGTATCTATAACTATATAGAACACTTTGCAGGAAAAGAGGCCTTAGACACTGGAACCTGGGCAGGACATGGCTGCTCTAACAGAGACAGTGTCTGGCATTGACAGTGGCACATGACCCACATCCGGGTTAGGCATCTAGGAACTAGTCATTAGTTACACCCACTCAAAAAAATCAGGATGTGGGCGATGCTTTACTCCTCCTATCACAATGCATACCTTGTGTTTACACAGTACACTATAAAATTCAAAAAACAAAGCACTATTTATAAGCTTCTTTCTTTTGGCAGGAGGTAAATATAAGTTTCAACGTCCACCAGCCAAGTCCAAATCTGAGGCATACAAACTGTACTCAGGGATCCCACAATCGGCCAAGAAAACAGGGAAAGTGGCCCATAAGGTGTTCAGCCACCACCAGGGGACAACTCTCTGTAGTAACACCAGTTCTTCACACCTGCTTTGGAAACCTCTAAAGGAGTTCAGGAATTCTAGAGGAACCTCTAGCATTTTTTCCCTCCCACTTCATTTTATCCAGGGAAAATTGTGTGAAAATGAATGAAATAAAATTCTAAACTGTATAGAAAATGATTTGGTTATCTTGTTACCCACAATTCAGAGCCTTGCCCTGAAAACCAAAACTGTGCAGGAATATAAGATGCTAAGAATAAAGAAACCACCAAACAAAGAAACCATTCTACTGTGCAATTGCAAGAAGTCCAGAAGTTTCTTTGTTGCTGCTTTGAGCCAGGAAACAGATTGCTGCTTCTGCTTTCTATATACTAAGCTTTTTAGACAACATTCCCAATCTGGGTGGAGGAAAGACACCTCGGCCCAGTCCATGAGTCAGGCAGGGTGGGATCAGGCCTTGGGGATCGTTAGTGTACCTGTGACTCTCCCAGGTCTTGTCAGCTCAGGGGTAGGTGAATGCCCCGAAGTCTACCTGAAAGCAATTTGCCCAAGGCATTCTTTTCAGGGACAATTTCCAAAGGTCTTTACTGCACATAAGCTATTAACCTACTCTGTTTGAAGGGGCGGGAAGAACATAAGGGCTTATGGTGATGCCTCCCGGGTGATGTGGTGATGGGAGAACTATGGGGACTACACTTGAGGGGAGAAACCAAATATTGTCCAAAAATGAACAGCAATCAAGAAAATACAGAAAACGAATGAATGATTGGAGTGAATACTGAAGAACTCAGCAATAGCCTGTCTCTACTGATAAGATTTTATAGAGCGCCATCTGAAAAGAGATGTTCTATACAGAACATAGTTTCCAATGATGTTCAGCAACACGTCTTCTTAACATGCAACAGCAACATGTCTTAAAATGGCTGCTTGCCCATCTAGGGGGAAAAGGTGCAGAGACAGGAAGGCCTGCAGGTCAGACCAGGGGTCCAGGCAGGACAGGGGAGGCCTCAGGGCCTCCGGTCACCAGGAGGGCTCCAGCAATTGTGTTTGGGAAGAACAAGTGCCCTGAAGTTTGACTCAGAATTCTTCTCCCCTCAGAGCCCCAGAAGCAGAGGGCGGTCAAGTTCCTGGGGTCCACAGCCGCACAGGGTGGAAACCAGGCCATCACTGTCAACCTGTCTTCCTGGCTGAATGAGTTTTGTAATTTCTTTTTAACACTGATCAAGGGGAGGCAGGGAAGGGAAAGGAAAGGGTGTCAGTGTCCCTCAGGTAAGAGAGAGCTAGGTTTGATTTCAATGTCATACTTTCTCTTTCTAAATCTCTGACTTTTCATTTATAAAGAGGGAATACGCGCAACAGTAAGTACCTGTTGTGGGTACTGTACAGATAAAGAGACCAGGAAAGGAAGGCATTTAGTACAACCCCCGCTTCCTTCCACCCTACTAGTGTCTTGACTCTTCACCCAAGAAAGGAATTTCCAAAGCTCTACAAGCAAGTCTTTAGAATGGTAACCTTTTTTTTTTTTTTTTTTTTTTTTTTTTGGCATCCATGATTCACTGGACTGAATTCTGAGAGGTCCTTTGCTGTTTCCCCAAAATCAAACACATGCCCAAAGAGCATTTTGAAACCAACTAAAAATATCCCAAACAATATATGCAAAGGGATTCCAAAAATGTTTTCAGCAACACTTGCAGAGTTGGTTTACAGTCTTCCAGAACGACTTCCATAAAAGGCACTCATTTGTAGGTTAAGAGCCTTGAAGCTTTCAGGTGATCTCACAACTTTACAATTGCCCTGGGTCACATACTCTGGGACTCCCCAACTTTTCAGCAAATTCCCTCCTAAGAATCGTATGTGCCTGCAGACCCTCATCCCACCATCCTACTGTGCCTCCATCTCCTGGGGCAGGAGTCTTGGGAGGAAGGGGAAGAAGGAGGTCAGAAATTGTTTGGGGATCTCCCCGGTGGTCCAGGGGTTAAGTCTCAACACTATCACCACGAATGCCTGAATTTGATCCTCAGCTAGGGAGCTACCCCACATGGCACAGCAGACCTCTCTTGTCTCACCTGCTGCTCCTCTCAGCAGTGTATGTCAGTCAATCTGCCTGTTCTTCTCCCCACTCTGTCTCTGGTGAATCCTCTCACCCCCACCTCTGGCCTACACTCTAGTTCTTCTATACATAAACAAAATAAACCTTAAAAAAAAAGAAATAAGGTTTGAGCATACAATCGATATTAGTGAAAGGTGACCTCCACCACTAGAGTTCTAAAGCTTTTCACAATGTTTCTATGGAAATCTTGCTATGTCTTTAAAAGAAAATAAACATCACAACAGAATACCAGGGAAGAAACTTGAATAGGCACTCCACAAGAGGGGATATCCAAGTATTAATATATATATATACGCCTAGACATTAAGCTTCACACGGCAAGAGAAAAATCATACAACATGATTTTGATATCATAGCCAAAAACTGGAAACAAGTGAGTCTGGGGTTCTGGGGACTTTCCAAATCTGTATTAAGATTATATTGACACGTTCATAGAATGGAAATTCATTCACCGGTACCCATGTAATTTGTGCTTGTCTGTATATCTGTCAAACATATATATATATATATATATATATATATATATATATATATATATATATATATATATTTTTTTTTTTTTTTTTTTTTTTTTTTAACAAGCCAAACCATCCAGATGCCTCTCCCTGGGCAAAACTAAACAGGGCCAACCTGAAGTCATTGTCCATTGACATAAATTTATCCAAACATCCAGGCTAAGCATAAAGAGCAGGAGACACCAGGTCATGCTCCCTCCCCCAGGCCAGCTCCCACCATCACTTGTGACCTGTGATCTGGGAGAGCTGAGCTTCTCTCATGTATAAAAAACAGCTGGGTAATTATGAGAATCAAATGAGATACAATGAGAGCTCTTTGTAAACCATAAATTGGTATTCTAATACCGGTTCTTAGGAAGTTATGGCATACCGGAGCAGATGGAGCTGGAAAGCAAAGGAATGAGGAGACTTATGGAGATTTTGAGGAGCTTTGGGGGAGTTACTTCAAGAGTTTTAGGAGTCAATAGATAAGTTTGTTACAAATTTCATTTTAATTCAAACAGGAGTTATTATACTTTTCATTCTCACAGCTGCATCACTAGAGCCTCTCTGTAATATGTTTTCCATCATAAATGGAGCGCTTTTCAGCTCACATTTGAAAATAACACTTTTCATTCTGAATGCTCCACATTTGCTTTACTGTCTGTTAGTCACACTCCTCACTCCGTCTGAAGCTTCTATCTACGTGCAACTTCCAGTTTCTTGGAGTGTATCTCTCTGAATGTCATATGTCTTTCTTGGTCCCAGGTTAGAAGGTAGGCCTTGAGAGGCAAAACAGTGCTTAGAGTAGCAGGCCTGGCCTGACCCAGGTTCACAGGGCCCTGGTTCAAGGACTAGCAGCCTCTACATTCCTGGAAACCTGTTAGAAATGCAGAAGTCCATGCCTCACCTCAGACCCAGTGAAACAGAACTTGTGGCTTACCAGCATGCCCCGGTGAGTCACACGTACAAAAAGGTTTGAGTGGCACTGACCTGTCACCAGGCAGACTCAGAGGCCCAGGGCTAAGGTCACAGCGTTGCCCAGGTAACGGAGTTCCTTCTAAACAGCTCCTGCCCGTGTGAATGAGTCCTGGTGCCTTATCTGCTACTCTCTTTTTGAAACTCAGTGTCACATTTTTCCAGAACTTGGGAGCATGCAGAGGATAAGGGAGGTGGGAAAAAAGGAATTTGGAAAGGCTTATTTCTCAGGAAAGCCTAAGGTGGAGGGGGAGCAAAAGAAGGGTAACATTTGAGTGCTGAAGTAGAGGACAGGGGAGTGTACCAATGTTGAGAGCAGAGAGTCTGAAACCAGGGTGCCCAGGGTCACCCCCTAGGTCTGCTGCACAGAAACTGCAGGACCTCACAAGAGTCACGAGACCTTTCTCTGCCTCAGTTTTTCAACTGTAAATTAGGACTAATAGTGCCTATATCCGAGAGCCTTTGTGTTCATAAGGTGGTCAGGCCTGCACACTACATTAGCACATTATCATCTCTAGGAAAAGGTTACTAATAGACTGAAAGAAATTTAATAGTCTAGGCTGCGGGGGGGGGGGGGGGTGGGCGGTGCAGGTTTAAGGGGGATGCCAGGAGAAAGCAGCTGTCCAGCCCAGGGTAATTTTATTGATTCTCTTCTCTATGCATGATTGCTAGGCCCAGGGATACAAAAATGAAGATGCCTGCTGGGAAGTTCAGTCCAGTGGGGTTTGAGAGAGGCTGTTCACAAACAAGGTGACTGAGTTCATGATTCCTTGTTCCAGTTTCTAAAGTCACCACTAGATACAACAGAGGGGGTGTAGCCGGCATTGGCAATAAAGGACCTGATTAAAAAGTCATTTTCTGGTAGTTTGTAAAATTGGGAGAAATATCCACTTATTAGCTTTGAGCTCTTTGTATAAGCACCAACTTTCTACCTTGAGGGGATGTTTTTCTTTTTTCTTTCTTTCTTTCTTTTTTTTTTTTTTTAGCTATTATTATAATTGCATAAGGACTTCATTTTAAAAAGGACTAACTTCAGGAATACCCAGCTTTATATGCCCAGCTCCTTCTCAGCAGCAGGATAGCTTCCTTATTGCTACTTAATGATACGGTAGATTAAATTCTTCAAGAGTAATATTAACTTCTCAATCAGCAGCTACTGCTGGCTTTCACCTTAGACCATACCAGGCAAATGTTCCTAGGCCCCAAAGCAGAGATGGCCGCGTTGATACACCCTCACTGGCCAAGCTTAGTTAGTAGCAATGGTTACAAAAAGTGAGTAGATCACATGCACATACTCACCTCAGAAATCAGCTCATTCCCACTTTGACATGGCACCCCCACCTCTACCTTCTGGAAAGACACTAAGTACCAGTGAGGATGAGTACATTAGGCTTTAACCCCAATACCTTTGATAACTGGATGATGGTGCAACATCCATTTAAATACTCAGTCCTGGCACTGAACACGGTAAACAATCTTATTTTCTTCAGAGTCATCAGGCATTAAAAACCCTCACCTACCTGCCAACCCACAAAATAGTTAAACAAGAAGGCAGAACGGGGCTCCCAGGGGGAAACTACCCTCCTTTGGGAAGCAATGGATTTCAGGCTGTGAAGACTGGAAACCAGTCTGATGTACTGCTCTTGTTGTTTTGTTAAATCTTAAACTATTTATATATATTGTTTCTCAAAGGAAAGTGGAAAGGATCCTTCAACTTAACTGAAGTGTAAACAATCATCTGTTATTTCCTCCCACTTCAAATGATAAGGGAGGCAGAAAGAGAACATAAGTTAACAAGCTGCAACTCATCTTGTGTAACTGTGGGAGCACATACTCATATAAGCAAGCACTGCAGCATGATGGGCATAGTTCATAGAGGTGCATCATCTTGGGGTTCAAAGGACCCTCATGGGTCCTATTAATTTGAGCCTCACCCAACCCCATGAGGCGGGTTGGGAGGGATTACTGATCCTGAAGAGGAAACCGAGGCTCATGAGGGCAAATGGCAGAGGCTCCAGGTACAGTACAGTCAGGGTGAGGGCTTAGTTTCCAAATCTTCTCAGTTGTTCCCCACGAATCTAATTCAATATAACCTCCCCAGACTTAGTAGACACACGAGAGGCAAACTAATGAAGGGTCCACATTTTCTGAAGTCAACAATGAAGCAAATATTTTCAACCTCATCCCTAGAAACGTTGACTCAGTAGGTTGCTCCTGGAAGTTAGTGGTCTGCATCTCAGCTCCCTGTCTTTGCTCTGGTCTTCACAAGAAAAAGATCAATGAGGGAGGCAGAAGTGGCCATGAGCAGAGAGACCACACCAAGCAAAGCAGCACCACCGGGCAACTCAGAATGGCTTTCTGGTTCAAAAGAAACCAACTCCATCCATGGAAGTAGAGTGAAAACCCAACATCTTGACTGAAATTTATCCAGACTTAGCTATAAGACTAGCACAGTGACTTTACCAAACTATGGTGATTTGAAAACCAATAAGCAAAATAATGTTGCTCTGGGGGCTAAGAATCAAAGCCTTCTTCTGTATCCTCTCACAGCCCCAAATATCAAGACCTCTTCCACTTGGCTTTCTTCCAGTTACTTTTTCCTTCATTCTCACCCTGGAATCCTTAGCTCCTGCATGAAAAAGGCAAATAATATTTACCCTTCTGGGCACTTCACCTAAGGCCCTTCCCTAGGAGCTAAGCCCAACTCTATTCTTACAGAGACAAACACTGTGGCCCAGGTGTTCAATACCTCGCCCAAGCTCACATAGCCGAACAGTAGCGGGGCCACCTTTCATATTCAGCTCTGCCCTACTCCTAAGGGTCCTCACCACACTGTATTAGCTTCTCTCATGGTAACCCAGGGACCTAGGCATCCCACTGGGGCCCTGTGGGAGCATATCAGGTCTCAATCCAGGCCTACTGAGTCAGAATTAGCAATTGAGCAAGACCCCCAGATGCTTCCTGCACAAGAGTTTGCCCAGAAGCACAGAGACGTCACATTGCTACAGAGAAAAACTGGAGTTGGGGTGGAGGGCAGGCTAGGTCCCTTAGTCTCTGCTCCAGTGCTGCAAACCTCACTGGCCCCAGATATGTTGATGCCTGTGTAACCATGTAAACCCTATTTAATAATAGTCAGACTTGACTGAGTTCCACAAGCAAATTTGAAGATGACACTGAAAATATCCACCATGGTCAAATCTTAAGGAAGAAGCCAGACAAGTTGCCCAGTCAGCATAAGCCCGGCGGTGGATCACAACAAGGAAGGCTAAATATGGAATTAATCTGCACAGGGAAGTTCAGAAACACTCTGGAGTTGAAGATGACAAGGCATTTGCCATGAAAACAATCCCACTGACTCAAGAACAATGTGGAACAAAACCTTTATAATTTAGAGGAAGGACTTTCACATGAAAGAATAACAAGAAAATTCTAGAAGACCCAATGACAAGCAAAGAGAAAGAAATTACCTAGAATTTTTTTTCCCCAAAGCAGAAAATTTGGCTTGAAAACGACACCATATTCCTAGAACTCTCTCACCCCTTTTCTTATTATACTTCTTTGGCCCCAGCTCCCTTGGCCTTGTTGCTATTTTGAATTGAGATATAATTCATGTACCATAAAATTCACCCTTTTAAAGTGTACAACTCAGTGGTGTTCAGTGTATTCATAAAATTGTGCAGTCATCAACACTATCTCATTCCAGAATGTTTTCACTGCCCCAAATAAGAAGCCCCCTCCCCATCAAGAGTCACTTCCCATTCCTCCTTTTCCCCAGTCCCTGGCAACCACTGGTGCACTTTGTCACTATGAATCTGCCTATTTGAGACTTTTCATCATGGAATAATACATTGCATGGCCTTTTCAGTCTGTTTTTTTCTCATATAGCATGTTTTCAAGGTTCACCCATATTATACCATGAATTAAACATCACTCCTTTTTTATGGTTGTATGGTGCTCCATTCTCTGAAATTTTTCTTCATCCACTTATCATTGGGTTTTTCCCACTTTTTGGCAATTACAAATAAAGCTATTATGAAATTAGTACACAAGCATCTGCATTCACACTTTTCTATTTTCTTGGGGATATACCTAGGAATTGTTCATGTAGTACCTGTTTTTCAAACTCACTGATGTTATTGTACATTCTCACAAGGGTTTCAATTTCTTCACAGCCGCACCAATACTTGTTATTACGTCTTTTTATTACTATAACAACACTTATTATTATAGGGGCATTCCTTGTATTTCCCTAATGACTATGATCTTAAGCATCTTCTCATGCGTTTGGCCATTTATATATTTTCTTTGAAGAAATGACTATTTAAATCCTTTGCCCATCTTCCCCCAAATATCCAGTATTCATCAACTGGACGACATTCTAATTCATCTTCTCTACCTAGACCACTATCTTCTAAAGGCCTGGGAATATTCTCAGTCTCCCTTTCTGTCCCAGGCTTCCCTCGTTGTTTTCAACCATTGTAACTGAGCGCTTCCCCTCCAGTTTATCCTGTGGTCACTAGAATTCACCTGGCACTTCAGTGAATTTCTAGAATCAAGAAAAGACTTAACAGGTTCTTGGAATACCTTCACAAATGTAATCAATTTCACACTGTGCTACGTTCGGTCACTTTCTTGTGTATTCTGAAAATTATTTATATACAGATAGCAGTACAAATCTTCATACGCCTACTCCATTATGCCACAACCCGAAATGCCCCTCTTCTCCTGCCCATCATTTATAATATTTTCATAGTCCATCCCTTCATGGAGACATCCTTAGCCACCACAACTTCAAATGGTTTCTCTCTACTCTGAAACAAAACCATAATCACCAGTGGTGTTCATTGATCAATTAATAATCCATATTTAACAAATACCCCTATACTTTAGGGATATGTTAGGTGAAACAGCCCATAGCGGCTATAAAATAACATTTTAGAAAGGTTGGCATGTGCTAATTCACAGTACAGTTCTAGAAGATACACACAAAAAACCCTCAAAATTTTCTGTGGTCTAGGAAACATCTAATTGAATATACACAAGGGTTTTTTGTTGTTGCTGAGACTGTAAACTTTAGTTATTTCTCAGAGTCTTTGATATGACAATGCACAAATTAAGACTCTCTCTCAAAGAGCAGAGAAATACTAAGCAGTGCTTCCCAATTGATTTACCCTTTACAAGAGCACACATATTAACATCCACCCCACAGATTCTGCAGACATACTCTGGGAACTGCTGAGCTAAT